GTAGGCCCAAGTTTTAAGCTATAGAAACATATCCCTGTATGTGCCAACTCAAATCCCCGTCCCTGTGATAAACCTGGACACCAGTATGATTTTAAACACTTCTACCTCTCCGTCCTATTTTTCCATGCTCCAAGCTCGAAGGAAAACCGCCACCCAAGAAACACACGGAGCTAGCCACCCCGAAGCACTACAAGGGCACAACAGTTTTTAGGTGCCCCCGCAAAGGCCACAGGTGGCGCCATCCCTCTGCCCCCGCACCGCCGCCCTCCGCCCTCCGCCCTCCGGCTTCTCTCCAGCTGCGCACACTTGGAACACTCCTTCCCCGGGCCATCCGACCCTGACCCATCGCCCCCGGGACCGGCTGCCCGGCGCGGGAAACCCAGGCCGCGGGGCCTCCTAGCGCCCGTCCGCGCGGCCGCCACGCCCCCTCCCCACAGGCCGTCCGGGCCGCCAGCCCCCTCGGCCGGGAGGTGGCCTCACCTCGCACGGGCCGTAGCGGGGAGGGCGCCCACGTCTCCGCCCGCCGCCCGGGCCCACGGCCGCTCGGCTGCGGCTCGGCCCCGACGGCCGGCGGCGGCGCGCTTCTGGGGGCGGGCTCTTCTCGGCCGGGGCTTCCCCGGGGCCGAGGGCTGGGAAACAGGGGGGACTGGGGCGGGGGAGGGGAAAGGGGCTTGGGAAGGAAGGGGGAGAGGGGAAGAAAAGGGGGGAACCAAACCCGGAAAGGGAGAAAAAGGGGGAGGGGAAATCAGAAGGGGAAGAAAAGCCCAGAGTCCGCCCCCCGCTGCGGCCTACGCGCTACGTCACTACGTCCGGCGTTGTCGTCACCGCGTCCTGCGTTCAGTCTGTCCCCGCTTCCTGCCTGCCCGCGTGCGCCTCAGGAGCCTTGCGGGGCCTACCGCCTGCCGCACGCACTCCCGCGGGCGCGCGCGCACTCGCACTCGCTCGCTAGCCCTCTCTTCCCTCCGCGTTACCTGTGTCAGGACACCAATCCGGAGCCACTGGGAGCCTCGGTCCTCCTTAAACCCATCAAGTCTGTTAGATAGAATACCCTGGATTTCAATATAATATTAATAGTGATCATCCTAAAGTAATTTCAATTTACAGAGCACTTTCAAAACAGCCTTTCACTTAGGGCAGTAACTCCTGTACCAAAGAACGTGCACTCGGTATTCGTTGTACACATGGATAACTATAATTCAGGTAAATGTCCATTTTACAGATGAAAAAACCTGACCTAGGAGGAACGCAGTCTGTCCTATTAAGATCACATTCTTACCATCTTCCCTTCTCTAAGATACAGTTCTCAAAAATCATCTTAAGGCCGGGCGCGATGGCTCAGGCCTGTAATCCCAGCACTTTGGGAGACCGAGGCGGGCGGATCACGAGGTCAGGAGATCGAGACCATCCTGGCTGAAACGGTGAAACCCCCGTCTCTACTAAAAATACAAAAAAATTAGCCGGGCGTGGTGGCGGGCGCCTGTAGTCCCAGTTACTCGGGACGCTGAGGCAGGAGAATGGTGGGAACCCGGGAAGCGGAGCTTGCAGTGAGCTGAGATCGCGCCACTGCACTCCAGCCTGGGCGACAGAGCAAGACTCCGTCTCAAAAAAAAAAAAAATCTTAAATTTTCAACCTTCCCCGTTTTGTCCATTCTAGGCAGAATCAATTTAGTTATTGATTATGTGCGTGTGGATAATTTACTAACCAAACTCCCTCAAAGAAGCAATGTAAGCCGGGCACGGTGGCTCAAGCCTGTAATCCCAGCACTTTGGGAGGCCGAGACGGGCGGATCACAAGGTCAGGAGATCGAGACCATCCTGGCTAACCCAGGTGAAACCCCATCTCTACTAAAAAATACAAAAAAAAAACTAGCTGGGTGAGGTGGCGGGCACCTGTAGTCCCAGCTACTCGGGAGGCTGAGGCAGGAGAATGGCGTAAACCCGGGAGGCAGAGCTTGCAGTGAGCTGAGATCGCGCCACTGCACTCCAGCCTATGCGACAGAGCGAGACTCCGTCTCAAAAAAAAAAAAAAAAAAAAAGAAGCAATGTAGTCTTTTGTAGAATTCGACCATTAGATATGTACCTTGCGACAGGAACTGCGGTAGGCAAAAAAAAAGTCAAATAATTATAGTACAATTTAAGTGCTATAATAGAAAGGTTTCAATGTGCTATGGAAATACAAGGAACAGCAATTCATTCTTAGAGGTAAAAGAGGTTGAGTAAGTTACAGAGAAACTACAGGTGAAATTCCAGCTAATCTTGAGACTATAAATAGTTCACTAGAGAGGTACGACTGGAGATTCCAGCAAAGTCATAGAGGCATGAAGTTCATCTTTCCTTCAAGGATGAGCAAGTTCCAGGTTGGTTGGCCTGTTTTTTTTGTTTGTTTTGTTTTTGTTTTTGTTTTTGTTTTTGTTTTTGAGATGGGGTCTCACTTTGTCACCCAGGCAGATAGAGTGCAGTAGTGCAATGTCAGCTCACTGCAACCTCCACCTCCCAGGTTCAAGTGATTCTCCTGCCTCAGCCTCCTGAGTAGCTGGGACTACAGGCGCTCACCACCATGCCTGGCTAATTTTTGTATTTTTAGTAGAGACAGGGTTTTGTCATGTTGGCCAGGCTGTTCTTGAACTCCTGGCCTCAGGTGATCCACCCACCTCGGCCTCCCAAAGCGCTGGGACTACAGGTGTGAGCCACCTCTCCCAGCCCTCTCGCCTGGTCATTACTGCCTCCTGCCCCCAAATTCTCTCAACCCCCTGGAGAACAGCAACGGGGGAAGAAAAATACAACTAAAAACTGAGCTGAACTAATCTAACCTGCCACTTTTCACCACGATTTAAACTTTTTGTCTTGGCCAGGTGCAGTGGCTCACACCTAGCACTTTGGGAGGCCAAGGCAGGAGGATCGTTTGAGCTCAGGAGTTCCAGATCAGGCAGTGATGACCAGGAGGAAATAATAGTTAATATTTGTATTATGTGTATGTAAGTACAATATACAATGTGTAGCATTCTAGATCTACTGTTACTATCAAATTCTCAATACAGTAGGTAGTATTATTATACCTGTTTTATAGATGAGGAAACCTGAGGCACAATAATTAAACCAAAGTACCAGATTTATTTATTTATTTATTTATTTTTGAGACAGAGTCTTGCTCTGTCACCCAGGCTGGAGTGCAGTTGCGTGATCTTGGCTCACTGCAACCTCTACTTCCCGGGTTCAAGTGATTCTCCTGCCTCAGCCTCTCAGGTAGCTGGGACTACAGGCATGTGCCACCACGCCCGGCTAATTTTTTTTATGTTTTTTTATTTTTTACTTTTATTTTTTGGTACTTTTAGTACAGATGGGGTTTCACCATGCTGGTCAGGCTGGTCTCAAACTCCTGACCGCAAGTGAGCCGCCCACCTCGGCCTCCCAAAGTGCTGGAATTACAGATGTGAGCCACCACGCCCCACCTACAAGCATGTTTTAAGGGCTAAAAAGAAGGGGACAGGGAGTGGGCTGATACAAAGTTGTCGGGTATTCTTGTTGGTTTACAGAAATAACATTGATTAGTGATTGGCTGTACATTGTTAAGCTATAGGATCTAGGTTATAGTGTCCAGTGCAGCATTATTAGGTTAATTTATAGTTACTTGTGGCAATTGCTTGCTATTGCCACATTGCCAATTGCTTGATGCTGTTTATCAAGAGATGAATACATAGCTCAAAAGCAGGGAGTAGGACATGATTGCCGTCTCATTTTATTTATTTATTTATTTATTTTAATTAATTTTTTTTTTTTTTTTTTTGAGATATGCTCTCACTCTATTTCCCAGGCAGGTGTGCTGCAGTATGATTACAGCTCACTGCACCTTCAACCTCCTGGGCTCAAATGATCCTCCAGTCTCAGCCTCCTGAGTAGCTGGGACTACAGGCACATACCACCACTCCCAGTTTCTTTTTATTTTATTTTTTTATTTTAGTATGTATAGGGTCTGGCTATGTTGCCCAGGCTGGTCTTGAACTCGTGAGTTCAAATGATTTGCCCGCTTTGGCCTCCTAAAATGCTGAGATTACAGGCTTGAGCCACCATGCCTGGTCTGCTGTCTCATTTTAATGTCTCTCTGAGCCTGATCATTTTAAAAGACTTGCATTTCCCAGATTAAAATTGTTTTCTTTTCTCAGTGCTGTGACACAGAATGAAAGCCTGAAATGTTTCTGAGACAAGTACAAGAACTGAAGAACAATAACCAAGAATACCTGGCTTTAAAACCTATACTCCTGGCCGGGCATGGTGGCTCATGCCTGTAATCCCAGCACTTTGGGAGGCCGAGGTGGGTGGATCATGAGGTCAGAAGTTCGAGACCACCCTGACCAACATGGTGAAACCCCGTCTTTACTAAAAATACAAAAATTAACTGGGAGTGGTGGTGCACACCTGTAATCCCAGCTACTCAGGAGCCTGAGGCAGGAGAACTGCTTGAACCCAGGAGGCGGAGGTTGCAGTGAGCCAAAATTATGCCACTGCACTCCACCCTGGGCGCTAGAGTGAGACTCCATCTCAAAAAAAAAAAAAAAAAAATCTCAGAACTTCTTTTCCAAGACAGATAAAAACCCCAAAGGGTGAGCAAATTTGGAACTGAAGGCCTTTGCCTACCTTAAGAGTTCCCTCTGAGAGCATCAAAGACATGGCTAGAACACTGTGCCTCCCTTCCCTTATCCTTCAGACTTCATGGTTTTGAGACCTCTTGGGCAAAACTCAACCAAGGCTAACAAATAAGGCTAGATTGAGAACCCCAGGGAGGGAGGATGGAGGGATGGGAATGGGCTTTGAGAAACACCAGGCAAAAAAGAATGCAACTCTCAATTGTTCATGCATGACAGTGAGCTAAAGTGCCTTGCCAATGACCCGTTCTTCTTTGAGAGTCTCCCTTTAACATTCTTTCCCAAAACCCGTGATCTGTGCCTTTCCCCCATCCCCAGGATTCCCAGCATGGGTAGTGATCTGAGGAGAAATTTAATCTCTCACCTTTGTCCCCAGGCTTGGCAGCTCACATGGATAACAACTGTCTCCCAACATTGGCCCAGGGACATGTCTTTCCCTAAACAAACCAACCTCTCCTCACGTCCCCCACTCTGTACTTTCACTGACTATGCGTTGGCAGATTCTGCCAAGTTCTACCTGTAACTGGCTTCATTTTCAAGTCAGATGTTTGGCTGCTGCTCTGTCCCCTGCAACAAGGAGCCATGCCAGCTGGACACACACTTCTTCCAGGGCCTCTGGCAGCCAGGACAGAGTTGAGACCACAGCTGTTGAGACCCTGAGCCCTGAGTCTGTGTTGCTCAAGAAGGGCCTCCCCCAGCAATGACCTCCTCATTGCTTCTGGCCTTTTTCCTCCTGGCTCCAACCACAGTGGCTACTCCCAGAGCTGGTGGTCAGTGTCCAGCATGTGGAGGGCCCACCTTGGAACTGGAAAGCCAGCGGGAGCTGCTTCTTCATCTGGCCAAGAGAAGCATCTTGGACAAGCTGCACCTCAGCCAGCGCCCAACACTGAACCGCCCTGTGTCCAGAGCTGCTTTGAGGACTGCACTGCAGCGCCTCCATGGGGTCCCACAGGGGGCACTTCCGGAGGACAACAGGGAACAGGAATGTGAAATCATCAGCTTTGCCGAGACAGGTGGGTTCCTGGTCTGTAGCTTTTCCCCAGAACTTGACTTCTCAAGGAAAGGAAAAGTTTCCTCACCAGCCTTACCTCTGACTCCTTCCCCAAAAACCATCCAACCCCTGCTCCCCATGGGCTGTAATCTCCTTATCCCAGGTATCCCCACGTCCCCCTGGGGCTCACTGTGGTAGCTCAGACCTGACCAGTAGGCAGCTGGAAAGCTGGTAAATTTCACTTCTTTTGAGACTGCCTGTCGTCATCTCCTCTGCCTCCTCTTTCTGCAGGCCCCACAAACCCACAGGCTGTGGTGTGAGCCCATCCACTTCCTGGGCCTGCACACAGCAACTGGGAGGTGAGCAGTCTCTCTTTTCTTTGGCCCCAGGATCTAGCCCCTCCCTTCCCCTCTCCTCCAGATGCCTCATTTGAGTAAAAGAAGAAAAAATAAAACACCAGGACTACAATACCTCACTATATGTCATGTTCTCATTAGACCTCAGGTCACCATATCAGAGAACAGGGTCAAAATGGGACTCAGAAAAATGGATAAAGGGGCTGGGCACAGTGGCTCGTGCCTGTAATCCCAGCTATTCAGAAGGCAGGAGGATCACTTAAAGCCAGTAGTTCCAGACCAGCCTGAGCAACATAGCAAGACCCTGTCTTTTTTTTTTTTTTTTCCCCAAGACAGAATCTTGCTCTGTTACCCAGGCTGGAGTGCAGTGGTGCGATCTCGGCTCACTGCAACCTCCACCTCCTGGGTTCAAGCAATTCTCCTGCCCCAGCCTCTCGAGTAGCTGGGATTACAGGTGCCCACCACCACACTCGGCTAATTTTTATATTTTTAGTGGAGACTGGGTTTCACCGTGTTGGCCAAACTGATCACTGATCTCAAACTCCTGACCTCGTGATCCTCCTGCCTCAGCCTCCCAAAGTGCTGGGATTACAGGAGTGAGCCACCGTGCCCAGCGACCGTGTCTCTCTTTTTTTTTTGGGGGGGGACGGAGTCTCGCTCTGTCGCCCAGGCTGGAGTGCAGTGGCGCGATCTCGGCTCACTGCAAGCTCCGCCTCCCAGGTTCACTCGCCATTCTACTGCCCCAGCCTCTCGAGTAGCTGGGACTACAGACGCCCGCCACCACGGCCAGCTAATTTTTTGTATTTTTAGTAGAGACGGGGTTTCACTGTGTTAGCCAGGATGGTCTCGATCTCCTGACCTTGTGATCCACACGCCTCGGCCTCCCAAAGTGCTGGATTACAGGCGTAAGCCACCGTGCCCGGTCCGTGTCTCTTTTTAAAAAACTTTTTTTTTCTTTTTTTTTTTTTTTGAGACAGAGTCTTACTCTGTCACCCAAGCTGGAATGCAGTGGTTATGATCACAGCTCACTGTAGCCTCAACCTCCCAGGTTCAAGTGATCCTCCCACCTCAGCCTCCCAAGTAGCTGGGACTACAGGTATGTGCCATCATGTCTGGCTACTTTTATTTTATTTTATTTTATTTATTTATTTTTTTATTTTTTTATTTTTTTATTTTTTTTTTTGAGACGGAGTCTCACTCTGTCCCCCTTGCTGGAGTGCAGTGGCCGGATCTCAGCTCACTGCAAGCTCCGCCTCCCGGGTTCAGGCCATTCTCCTGCCTCAGCCTCCCGAGTAGCTGGGACTACAGGCGCCCGCCACCTCGCCTGGCTAGTTTTTTTGTATTTTTTTAGTAGAGACGGGGTTTCACTGTGTTAGCCAGGATGGTCTCGATCTCCTGACCTCGTGATCCACCCATCTCGGCCTCCCAAAGTGCTGGGATTACAGGCTTGAGCCACCGCGCCCGGCCTATTTTATTTTATTTTTTGAGATGGAGTCTCGCTTTGTCACCCAGGCTGGAGTGCAGTGGTACCATCTTGGCTCACTGCAAGCTCCACCTCCCAGGTTCATACCATTCTCCGCCTCAGCCTCCCGAGTATCTGGGACTACAGGCGCCTGCCACCATGCCTGGCTACTTTCTATGTATTTTTTAGTAGAGACAGGGTTTCACCGTGTTAGCCAGGATGATCTCGATCTCCTGACTTCGTGATCAGCCTGCCTCGCCCTCCCAAAGTGCTGGGATTACAGGCATGAGCCACCATGCCCAGCGTATATTTTTTTATAGAGACAGGATTTCATCACGTTGCCCAGGTTGGTCTTGAACTTTTGGGCTCAAGCAATCCACTCGCCTCGGCCTCACAAAATGCTAGGATTACAGACATGAGCCACTGCCCCCGGCCTAAAAATTAGCTGGGTGCAGTGGAGTGCACCTGCAGTCCCAGCTGTTTGGGAGGCTGAGATGGAGGATCATTGAGCCCAGGAGTTTGAGACTACACTGAGCTATGTTTGCATCACTACCCTCTAGCCTGGGCAACAGAGACCCCCATCTCTAAAATTAATTAATTAAATATTAAATAAATTAATTTTAATTAATTAAATATTTAATTAATTAATTTTAATTAATTAAATATTAAATTAATTAATTTAATTAAAACGAGACTCCCTTTCAAAAAAAAAAGGGAGAAAGAAAGAAAATGCAAACTGAGCCCTTTGCAAGCTCTTTCTTAGGTCTGAAGACCCCTCCCATTTCTGGCCCCTCATTCCCTCTTGTTTTTTTGTGGTTTTTTTGAAATGGAGTCTCATTCTGTTGCCCAGGCTGGAGTGCAGTGGCATAATCTCAGATCACTGCAACCCCCACCTCCCAGGTTCAAGCCATTCTCCTGCCTCAGCCTCCCGAGTATCTGGGACTACAGGCGAACGCCACTAAACCAGGCTAATTTTTGTGTTTTTAGTAGAGACGGGGTTTCACCATGTTGGCCAGGCTGCTCTGGAACTCCTGACCCCAAGTGATCTGCTCGCCTTGGCCCCCCAAAGTGCTAGGATTACAGGTACTGCACCAGCCCCCGCCTGTTTCAAGACCCAGCTTTGAACCGGAGCTAGATAGCCTGGGCTCAGATTCTTGCTCAGCCATTTATTAGCTGTTTGACCTAGTGGTTAATAGTTCTCTCATTTGTTAAATGGGATAGTTGACAGAATTAAAGGGCTAATACAGGTAAAGTACTTTGAATGTTAAAGTGGGAGGGAGCAGGAACTAGAGAGTAGATTTAGCGCCTGCCAATGAGGGGATTATGGTGAGCGTCCTCTTCTCTTGATAACCTTCCATGGAGGAAAGGGGCAAGGCAGCTCTCTAGAAATCTTTTATAAAGACACTAATCCTATTAATGAGGGCTCCACCCTCATTACTTAATCACCTCCCAAAGGCTCCGCTTTCTAATACCATCACATGGGGGTTAGGATTTCAACATATGAATTTTGAGAGAACATAACAGCCTCTCTCCATGAAGCCTCTTAGCATTCAATGGTGTATCCCAAGTTTCTTTAGAGAATGGTGGCTAGATTCCAAGAGGATAATTTCAATGTGTAAATTATTCTCAAGCTTCTGCATACACCTTGCTTACTAATATCCCATTGACAAAGCAAGTCATTGTAGCCAAGCCTAGAATCAATCACTGTGAGACAGAACTAGATGAAGGCGTGAAAGCCATGAGGTACTGTTTATTGGGGACTACCAATCTGGCAGTCTCCTGAAGTCTGCCCTCTGACCCCTAACAATTTATATCTCTCCCACAAGCAAAATACAATCATCCTCTCCCAGCCACCCCCATCAAACTTTCATCCCTTGGCCAGGCGCGGTGGCTCAAGCCTGTAATCCCAGCACTTTGGGAGGCCGAGACGGGCGGATCACAAGGTCAGGAGATCGAGACCATCCTGGCGAACATGGTGAAACCCTGTCTCTACTAAAAATACATTAAAAAAACTAGCCGGTCGAGGTGGCGGGCACCTGTAGTCCCAGCTACTCGGGAGGCTGAGGCAGGAGAGTGGCATAAACCCGGGAGGCGGAGCTTGCAGTGAGCTGAGATCCAGCCACTGCACTCCAGCCTGGGCGACAGAGCAAGACTCTGTCTCAAAACAAAACAAAACAAACAAACAAAAAAAAAACAAAAAACAAAAAAAACACAAACTTTCATCCCTTTATGGCATCAGGATCAAGCTTGAAGTCCAGCATCTCATCACCTGAATTAGGTGCAAATATAGGTGAGGCTCCTCTGGTACATTTCTTCAGGTGCAGGGGCCTTCAGTGATGTCCTAGCGCCTGGCTTATTCTGACTTATGAAAGCTGATTGTGAACATCTCCCAACTTAGGATTCAGTGATGTCACATTAGCAGCTTGAAATCAGTCATGGTGGGAGAATTTATACAAAAGAAATTGACAAAGACTACGAATCAGGGCTTTTGATTTTTTTCCCTGGAAACCAGTTATTAAACATTTACCAGCATACCACTCTCTGTCTCCTAAAAATACAAGTTCTCCACCTCCCACGCACTTAACATACAATGCTGAGACAGGGACAGGATAAACATAATAGATACTCCTGTTCAAAATGGGATGTGGGAGAATAGGAGACACAGAGGAGTCACTGATCTGTAAAGCTTCTTATATTCAGCCAGGCAAATATCAGGTCCACTCCAAATCCAGAATTCCCTTGGTTAGTTAGGGCCTGGTTCTGCTCCCTGGTATTTCCAATTGTGCACTACTGCTCTCCTGGACTTCCAAATTCACCCTCTCAGCCCTTGGCACTCTACCTGCTGAGATGTCTTTCCTTTTAAATAGGAAATGATCTATGTTTGCGGCTGAGTACTTTTCTCAGCCTACTTTCTGCCCAGAGTTGGGGGCCCAAAGACCTCTTTTTATTTTGAATTGTCCCTTTTAGTCCAAACTGGTGCTGCTTTCAGTATTAAACTTCTCTTTTAAACTCTGTGGACCCTGTAAATAATAAATTGTAGTCTACTCAATTACACAGAAGGCACCACATTCTATCAAGACGGACCCTTATTTAGGCTACAAGTCCGTGTCATGGGATAACACCTTTAAGATGTTTAGAAGTGCATTTGTCTAGTTGTAAGGGTTAACAGAACATTGTCTTAAATTTTAAATCTCAAAAAGATGT